TATACAAGATTGGAAAGCAAGGTACAAGTCATCAAAGGACTTGACCCATGTGCAGCAGATTAAAAGTGCGGATGGAAGAGAATGTAATACCGGGAATAACAAGAGATGAAGCTGTTAAGGTGTTAAATAGGATGAAAAATAATAAGGTAATAAGACTTCATGGAATACCTGTGGAGGGTTGGTAGGGTCTAGGAGAAAAACGGGTTGATATTTTGTGGCAAATAATGAATAAGATATATGAGAAAGAAAGGATGCTCAATGCATGGAAAGAGTGTGATGGTATTATTGTATACACATAAAGGAGACATTCTGGACTGTACAAACTACAGAGGGATACAATTAATGTAGTACACAATAAAAATTTGGGATAAAACTGTAGAGCGAAGGTTAAGGAGAAAGACTTCGACATGAAAACAGTCTGTGTTTATGAAAGGATGAAGGATGACAGATGCTTTGTTTGCGTTGAGACAACTGATAGACAAATACAGCGAGAGCAAAAGAGAGCTACATTTGCTATTTATTAATCTTAAGAAGGCGTATGACATAATTTCTAGAAAAAAGCTATGAAGATGTATAAGAGAAAAATAAGAAAGGGAGAAAGTAAGGGAGGGCTCCTTGGTCAATGCTCTTTGCTGATAATATCGCATTAGTAAAGGAGAGCAAACAAATTTTGAAGGAGAAGTTAATAGTGTTGAAGAAGAGTTATTGAAGAAAGTGGGTTAAAGGTTAGCAGGTCGGAAACGGAGAATAAGTTTGAATATGGAGAATATGTATGAGCTGAAATGAAAATGTTACGATGAGTGTTGGGTAAGACTAGAAAGGAAAGGATTAGAAACGACTTCATTAGGAAAAAGGCCGCGGTGACTACAGTCTCAAAAGAGATTCAAGAATAAAGACTGCAATGGTTTGGTCATGTCAAACATGACATGACAGATGAAAACTATGTGGAACTAAGGATAGAGTTATAAGAAGTTGATGAAAGGAGAGGTAGAGGAAAACCCATGAGAAGATGGAATGACTGTGTGGCAGAGAACTTAAGAGAGAAAGATTTAGGTGAAGAATACCTGATGGACAGAAATGAGTGGCGACGAAAAGGAACAGCAACTTCAGAAAAACAAAAAGCTAAGGAAAAAGAAGAAACATTTTTTGGAGTTCAGTATATAAATAATTTTAATTATGTGTATAGCATTTTAAAAATATTTTGCTAAATTTTGATGGCCCTTTAATAACTGGTTTATAAGATATTGCCCAGTCTATAATTCTTTAGCCGTTGCAGATTGGTATTTTCGCGACATCTAATTGCCATTCTCTTGTACTCTGTGACAAATCATGAACAATCTCAGACCCGACATCAGCATCTCCTGTGATGCTTTTATCATTGTTTACCAAACCGCGTTTACAAAACAACTACACTTAGAACATAATATTTCAGTATGCCTTAAGAGTTAACGAGGTGGTTCATTTGACATAAGTTGTCCCTAATGACTATACATTTTATTTACATTATGACGAAGGCGGCGCAGCTGGTCTAATTAAAAATTAAGAGGGTTTGGTTGCTCAATAATGTACAAGAGCTTTTTAGAAAAAAGTGTCTAGCGACGTAAAAAGAATACAATGATAAATTTTGCGGTAAATCCATTTTAAAGCCTGTATTTTATATAAAGTACAAAGTAAAACAAAGTTTGCTGCATTAAAAGTGATTTTAATTTTAACGGTACTTAATAATTTTAATTTTTCGTGCTATTTTGAATAGACATTTATTATCATTTTAGTTGGGAATATGTTTATTTTCCAAGTATACATCAAAACGTTAAAATAAATGAATGCTTAACTGAAATTGTTACTAATTAAAGGTAGTAAATAATATAAAAATGCCACAACTGCAAGCAATAACTATCATAACCGGAATTTATTTCGTCTTCTTCTCAATTCACCAAACTATGTCATCTTGGAACTATATCGTAAATTAACTGGCGAAAACACTCTAGGCAAGTGAGAAATATGCTTTCATGCCGGTAGGCTGTCTTTACTTCTAGCACTGTTTAACAATTTCTCATGTTATGTCATAGTGTTAACGATACAGACTTTCAGAGAGAAAAGATATGTAACAATAAAACACTGAAAACTTTTGTCTTCAACATAGTGTCTTTCTCAAGTGATCTATTTTTGGTATGTGTTAACACTTTATAGTCTTTAACTGAATTAGTTGAGAAGTGGAGAACTGTATGCTTCAAGTTGGTCATTCAGAATTATTTCTGTATTTTTTAATTTGTTGATTTCCATAGATTCTAATAAACATAGCTTAAGGCCTTTATTTTGAATGTGAAGAATTTGAAATTCGCATTAAAAGAATGATTATTGTCTAGAAGGTAAAGTTTGTACGTAAATTCTGTTTTCCTGAAATTATTGAAAGCCCTTTTATGTTCTGCTACATTTAATAAAAGTTCTACCAGTTTGACCGAAGTAAATTTTTGGGCAATCGCCACATTTAAGTTTGTATACACGGCTGTGTAATCGCTGTTTCTTGTGGCTCTTGTTGTTCTTAATATATTTCCTAAGTTGTTGTTTGTTCTAAAAGTTGTTATTCCTTTTTTTTATATGTGTTTGGATATTTTGGCTAATATCTTGCCTGAATATGTAATCGAGCAGAAGATACTGGGTTTTTCTCTGGTGGTGGAAATACTAATTTTAGGGATTTTTTATGTAGTTTTTGATTTAAAATTTTATTTATTTTGTGTTCGTTGTACCTATTGTTTACTGCTATCTGCTTAATGATTTTTAGATCAGAAGTTAATTTTTGACATGAGCATTTCTATTAGTCTATGTAACAGGCTATGGTAGGTAGCCAATTTATGTTGTATAGGATGAGATGATAAATTGTGTATAGTAGTGTCAGTATGAGTAAGTTTATGAAATACAGAGAACTCATGTTTGTTTTTAAGTCTGATAATTTTTAAATGTATAAAATTTATGGATTGATTCTGTTGTGTTTGTATTGTAAATTCAACATAACTATGGAGTAAGTTAATATACGATAAGAATTGGTCAAGTTATCTGTTAGTTCCTGTAAAACATACCAATACATCGTCTACGTACCTCCACCAATATAAAAATTGTTTGAATATGGGATGTTTTGAAAACTTTGTGCTTAGATGGTCCATAAACATGTCTAATAGCAATGGGCTTAGAGGATTTCCCATTATAAATCCTGTACTGTTATTTGTATATGTTTGATTATTAATTTAAAAGTATTCCTGGCTTATGCAGATTTCAATAAAATATAACACCCCCTCTGTGGCTCAGTGGTAAGAGCGCCTTTGAACGTAAAGGTCGTGAGTTCGAATCTCACCTGGGTGGAGAAATTTTCGTTTATTAAAAATTAATAAATGAAAATAATTTCTATCCTTGTGCGATCGGTACTCACCGGAGGAACCGCAGAAGTTCGGAAACAATTAGCGTCTCTTAGCAAAGACAATGTCGTCGACTTTGCTAAGTATCAAGACAATTACTCTACACCTACACACACACACACACACACACTAGACTAGGTACCTGACTGTAAAAATATACTGTACCATGCCAATGACCATTAGTTGTCGACGCATTAAACTCAATAAAAAAAAATAATAAGATATAAAATTTCAGACGTAATGATTTGATTTGTAATATTATGGTCTCAAAGGTCTTTTACTACAACAAAAATTTCTGTAGAAGAATACTAGGAAAAAGGTTTTTTACGTAAAATGAAATTAATTTTGAGTTGTTAGGTAATTGAAAATATTTTATTTTATTAACTAGTTGTATTGGATTTTTTTACGATAAATTGGGGTAAAAATTTAGTGTGTTCTAAAATAATTTATAATAATAACAGTTTTTTGATACTTTGTATACTTTGTATGATGGAGCTGTAAAAGAAACTACAGGTCTTATTGGGTGATAAGGAGATATTTCTTTTCTATTAAATTTAATATTAATTTTGTATTTTCTAACGCTAGTTTAATTTGTTTTTGATAGTTTTCCGTTGAATCTTTGTTTATTGTTTCAAAATTTTGATTATTTAAAAATTTTATTGTCTTGTTATTAGATTATATTTTATCTAAAGAAATAGTAGTGTTACTTTTGTCTGCATTTGTAAACGTTATTTAGTTTTATATTGATTTATTTTTAATTGTACCGCTCTATTGCACTAGAGGTTGGTATTTCACCTTACTGTTCTGTCATATTTTGATCTCAAGGCCACTGTCTTTTCTCGTTGTTGGCATGGGTTTATACCTGTTGCTTTCATTTACCTGCAGTACCTAAAAAGCTAAAGAGTGCTTACTTCATTATACTTTTAACTAATACTATAATTCAATCTGTATCAATTTATTAATGTTACCTAAATTTAAAATTAAATTTAACTAATAATATACTGTACCTCCTGCCTCCCCAATTATCAACGAGATTTTTTGCAAATGCTAATGCGAATGCGAATGTAAATTTTTCATATTAATTATACGTAGAGGATTCATAGAGTAGCCTGTTTGTTTTCCCTAAAATTATGTGTCTACATTAGGCGACCACCATGCTGACAAAATTTGAGACAATGAATTATTTATAAATGTGAACTAATATATGGAAAAGTCTTGGACATAATGACTTGAATTTATTAATTTAAGTTTGCACATTGTCAAGAGGTAAACGGCGAACATTGAAAGTGTTTTTTTTATAAATATTCTCGTTGGTCTTAGTAAATACATTTACCTATTCTATAACTTTATAACCTAATGAAATAATTTATTTCTCGATGTAACAATTGTTTGTTTTTGGTATGTATGAATTAGGAATAACAAATTCTTTTAAAACCTGCAAAAATATCCACGTTTATACTCAAGTTAGGGTTATTTTTGGTAAAGTCGAATAACGATATTTAACGGATTTTATATTTTATCCCAACTCTGTATTAAATTGATACGTTTTTAACATATTTTTATTAAATTTTATGTTTTTATTTGTTTCAGTATACACTAATGACCGAATTAAGAGAAATAGTAGCACTCGACGACCGCGCAAAGTTTGACGAATTAGTTTATAGAAGAGAAATCGACTCTTCCAGAATTAGGGATCCTAGGGAACATGATTATAGGCATTCCAGGGTAAGTTATTGTAATTTAATACAGACGATAATAGAATCCGTTATAAGAAAGTTTTGTTTCATTCATTGATAATTAATCATCTTCATACAACAACAAAAATTTCATACAGCTTATTTAAAATATTTTTCAATAAACTAACGGTTTATTTTTTAAGTTTTTTGATAAACTATAATTGTTTTAACGTACAGACGAAAATTCTAAAACTAGAAATAATCTTAATATTAATAATAATCTTAAATAAAAATATAGAAAAAAATGTAGATGAATTTGCATAACTATTGTTATCCATATACGATTAGAAGTTAAACATTTGTCAGATAGTAGTAATATAAACTGTCTCGATAAAATGAAAAAAAAAGCAAATTTTTGATTTCACGCAAACCTATGTGTCTGTTGATACGTATTTCGACCTAATGGGTCTAATAGCGACATCTAATAATACAATCCGTAAAATAGTTTCGAAACACAATTCAGATTTCTGCTTACAATCTGAGCCTTCTAAAAATTGCAAGACAAACAGACGTTGATAAAAGATGTTAAAAGGGACATGGGGAATCTGAAATTTGCATTCCACGACATGTCTTTATAACTAAGCAGAAATCCTTAGTGAATTGTGTTTCTTGTACTCGTACAGAGCAGATCCGAATAAAATGAAAAAGACAGCAAATATTTGATTTCACGCAAACAGCGCCTATGTATCTGTTGATTGGTATGTCGACCTAATAGGTCTCATTAGAACAGTTATTCGTAGGTATTCTCAACGTGAAAAATCAATATTTTCTGTCTTTTAAGAAGCAACACTAAAATGGCTTCAAAACGGATGCAATAGCGATATCTAATAATAAAATCCGTAAAATAGTTTCGAACATCTTCGAAACGTAAAATATGTTTCATTTAACATCTTTTATCAACGTCTGTTTGCCTTGCAATTTTTAGAAGGTTCAGATTATAGGCAGAAATCTGAATTATGTTTCGAAACTATTTTACAGATTTTAATATTAGATGTCGCTATTGCGTCCGTTTTGAAGCCATTTTAGTGTTGCTTCTTAAAAGACAGAAAATATTGATTTTTCGCGTTGAGAACACCTATGAATAACTGTTCTGCTGAGACCTATTAGGTCGAAATACGTATCAACAGATACATAGGCGCTGTTTGCGTGAAATCAAATATTTGCTGTATTTTTTATTTGATTCGGATCTGCTCTGTACGAGTAAAAGAAACACAATTCGCTTAGGATTTCTGCTTAGTTGTAAAGACATGTCGTGAAATTTCCCATGTCCCTTTTAACATCTTTTATCAACGTCTGTTTGCCTTGCAATTTTTAGAAGGCTCAGATTATAAGCAGAAATCTGAATTGTGTTTAGAAACTATTTTACGGATGTCTCGATAAAATTTTATTTCTTTGGTCTATCCGTATCTCAGAGGAAAACATTAAGTCCAAAATTTTAGTTTTCTAGTTTTTTGGCTCACTGGAATTAAAATTTTCCTATCTATTCACTGTTGTTTCTTATTCGCCGTTTCAAATGAAATTGGCCAACATAACTTTTATGAACAGTATTAAGTCCATTGCGCTTAGAACAAAACAGTATCTTCTGCATTTCAAATGTAATAGATCAAAAATGGTGTATACATTTCCCAGGGTAAAACCTTATTATGTTTAACAAAAAGTATGTCCCACATAATGCAAGTCAGGAAAAGCATTTCAGGCAAAGTCCACAATATTTTAAAATTTGCAAGTTTTGCTTGTTAAGGTGTGAATTATATAGTACAATATGTGTGTGTGTGTTCAGTTCGCTGTAGTAGTGTATTGAAGTGCACTATCTCTTCGCTTTTAAACCCGATGTCACATTTTTTGTTTAAGTCGTGCATGTTAAGTTAAATGAGGTAGCACAATCTTTCAGCTTGCACTCAACAGTAAAGAAAACGTAAATAATCGATCCTTATTAGTGGAAAATATATCTAGTAAACGTATTTCGAATTTTAACTACATTAAGTTTAACTACATTTTAAAGACAAATATTTTGCATTTACACTGACGATCTTAACATTCGTACGCCATTTAATAGAAAAGTCCTAGCTAATGAATTTAAAAAAAGGATAAATCATCCAACCACATCACCTTCTTTATTAGATATATCTTACAAGTTTGTTAACCTGTAGAAAAATATAACTGAAATGCCTAAAGACATCTCTTTTTCAAGTAGCAGTATACTTATTAACGAGATTAAGGAACCACCACTGAAGCTCAATCCATCTACCAGTACTAAGACGAGGAAAACCCATTTGTATATTTGGGAAGTTCATTTGTTCCTAGCATTAACTCGAATACTGACAATGATTTTAAAATCACAAATGAGGGTGATGATGAAAATAAAAAAGAGTTCGTGAAAGCCGATCATCGAAGCAAAGAAAATAAACGTTTAAGGAACGAAACTAGGCAACGAAATGAACGACAAAAGAAGAGGATAGCAGGTCAACGATATAAATCTTTAAAGACTAAAAAGATAGAAAGGTGGGAGAACCTTGTAGAAACTGCTGCTTAAAATGCAACGAAAATATCGACACTTTTGGAATCATGAGACAACCAATAATCAGAATAGACAGTTTTTATGTTCTTGTCTTGAAAAAAGTGTATCAGAACAGAGAAGGGAACGAACAGATGCTGGAGCCGAAAAACTTGATTTGTTATTTCTGATTAATCTGATCAAAGTTTGAAGCTGAGTGAGCAACAATAACAGTGCAGTATAACGCTCATTTGTTACTGGCTGATAGACAGTACAACTTGAAACATATAGACAAGGGTATGTCCATCAATAACCCTGGACAAAAAGTTTTAATGGTAAATTTACAAAAATGTATTCCTTACCAAAAGCTAACTAACTCTCTAAGCTAAGTTTTTACAGTCTAACACTCTGGTGTTTTAATTACAGAATGTATGATTCAACCGAAAAATAGGCGAACTGTCTAATGTGGGATGTGGGATAAATCAATTGCTAGCCGAGGTGGAACGAAATGGCCTCATACTTGGTCCAATACAATCATTCGTTACCTCAAAGCACGAAGTTATTTCGACCGACAATTGCCCATCCCAAAACCGAATGATTATGTGCTACTTTATACTACTTTTGAGATATCCACATATAAAAGAAATCACTTACAACTTCGTTTTGCGGGGTAATACGCACATGGAGGTGGACAGTACGAGTATACACTCAGTTCTATAACGAGAGGCTAAAAATATCTTAATTTTCATATTATAACTCCATGTAGTATTAAAAAAAAATTTTTTTAGTGGTAAAAAAGAACAATTATCATTATTCACATTAACCCTTTCTTTGACAGACCTGCTCAGCGACGCAGTGCTACCGTTCCCATGGTTTTTGAAGTGCCAGCAGTACCAGCGACGTATATATACGGTTGCTTATTAAATGCAAAGAAAATGTTTTTTAATGTTTAAAAAAATATAAAACGAAAGTATTTTTTATAACTAACTATAAACTAAATATTAAATGAATAAGGAAGTAGTCATTAGAATTGTTCCTGGGTATGGTAAATGTCAAAGCAAGGATGTGACCCTTGTCTGTGAATGTGACAGATACCCACGTGACAGAGACCCACGTCACATTCCCGACACATGTACTTTGATTCGCGTCGTTTCTTTGCTTGAGTCTTTGTTGTTGAGTAAACGGTGCATCTATGAACTTTGTTGTTGGGGACAATATCAGGAAAATGTATACCTACAAGACGAAAAACGTTTCACACAGGCACTACAGTTGTATGTTTTGGTAAATGATATCTAAATATAACATCTCATTGTTACAAGATAGTTTCAAGATTAGATCCACATACCTGTCTAGAAGCTGACGAATAAGATTCAAGTGAAACTGGGCCAATGGTGTTTTCTCTGGGTGTCGTATATTGCATGTGCATTTAAAATAAAAAGTTTGACGGTATACAAGGCAACTATCGAACACGGTGATTAATTTAATCTTGCCCAAGTACTTTCGATCAGTACTTACCAGTACTTTCGATCAGTACTTACCAGTACTTACCAATCGAAAGTACTTGGGCAAGATTAAATTAATCACCGTGTTCGATAGTTGCCTTGTATACCGTCAAAGTTTAATTATTCGAATATTGAACCTTATATTGATTTAAAATAGAAAGGTCCAATATGTAAAATTAGAGCTTTTTTATGCCATTTGACGGTTTTCCTGACGCTTTCTGTGGAACTTAGTAATATGTCAGTCCTGTCCACTGCTCCCATATTCATATTGTAATCTATTACGCAAGCTGGTTTTATAATGAATTCGTTTGTCTTTCTGTCTTTTTTAGCCAATTTTACCATTTTGTCTTGGTGCATGGTAGTAAGCATAGTGACCTCTCTTTGATACTCCCATTTTAGTGCCAACATATTGCAACTCGACATTGAGGAAGTGTGTTTTCTGTTGATTCTGACTGTTCCACAAGAGTTAGTTTTATGGTCAAATAGGTAACTTCACAAACTAGGAGACGTGTACCATTTATCAGTAAAGAGCGAGAGACCTTTGTACAAGTAGGGTTTCATAAGATTGGCAATCACAGATCCTGAGAGGCCGATATCCTGATAATGATTTATTTTGGTGTTTTTACCTACATACGATATAGTCTATTCATAGGCTGAATTGGTGTGAATGAATTGGTTTCGAAAACTATTTTCCGGATTTATAATCAGGTGTCGCTATTGCGTTCATATCGAAGCCATTTTAATGTTGCTTCTTAAAGACAGAAAAGATATATTTTTCACGTTGAGAACGCCTATGAATAGCTGTTCTGATGAGGCCTATTAGGCCGAAATGCGTATAAACAGATACATAGACGCTTTGTACGTGAAATCTAATCTTTACCGTCTTTTTCATTTTATTCGGATCTACTCTATATAAGTACAAGAAACCAATTCGCTAAGGATTTCTGCTTAGTTGATTGTGACGTGGATGTAGTGTGACGTAGTGATGTCGTGGAATGCAAATTTTAGATTCCCCATGTCTCTTTTAACATCTTTATCAACGTCAACAATTTTTAGAAGGTTCAGATTTAAAGCAGAAATCTGAATTGGTTTCAAAAACTATTTTACGGATTCAAAAAAAAGAAATTTATATTATAAAACATCTTTATATAAGAATCACAAAACACATTCAACAAAGGACTTTGCCGGTTTGCTTAAAAAATGTTTTTAATATAAAATAACTCATATTAAATATTTTCATCGTATATTTCTTATATTTCTTTTTTATTTTAGAGAAAAGGAATGCCAATTCCAGATTCAAACCATGCGATATACTCCGGTTATGAGGTAAGAAAGCAGATTTGATACAATTGTGCTTTATTAGAGTAGTCTGTGTTGTTCGTTTTTTTTTCTGTAATATAAATAAGACAAGTCGAAATCCTGATAGACATATGTGGTGCTTGATGCTGTATTAAATCTGATATTTATAAATAAACATACTAAAATTTGAGTAAATAGGAAATATAAATTAAAAATGTAAATACTACGAACAGAAAAAAGCTTTAAATTCTTCCATAGGTAAAAAGGAATAACCCTATAGTTCTTACTAACATTGGTAGATAGAAAAAATTATAAAACAGTATAAAATATAATTAAAGCTTTTCTCTTTTCAAATAAGTATCCAAAGTTTTTTGAGTTACAAACTTTCGAAAATATAATATATATATATATATAATATATATATATATATATATATATATATATATATATATATATATATATATATATATATATATATATATATAGCCTCCGACATAAATTCTATTTGAGGTAGATTGTGAAAGTTAAATCTCTTGAGTTGAAACTTTAGCCAGTTCCAAAGAATGATATTTTAATAGGAAAAATACAAAGGACCTCAGCACTTTTGTTATGTAAAAGTGGTTTTAGTTGAATTGGCTGAAACTTTGTAGACATCTAGCTTTGGTCATGCTAATCAAAAGTTCTATTTTCCCCAAAACTCAGAAATCAATTAATTCTGAGTTATAGAATATCAAAATGTCGGTTTTTAGTCCATTTGAATAATACATATTTGTAAAATATATAGGGTGTTGGTAAATTAGCACAATAAACTTCAAAGAAGTGATTCTGCATAAAAAACTAATCACAATTTGCTATATATGGCCACAACTGCTTACTTTTCCAAGATATATGGTGTATTCCCAACCAACTTCAGGCGTTTGAATTATAGTTATACAGAAGAATCCTGAAGATACCATGGACAGACAAAGTCACCAATGAAGTAGTACTGCGGAGGATGAACACAAACGCGGATTTGGTTAACATTGTGAAGAGCCGTAAGCTGGAGTACTTGAGACATTATAATGAGAAATCAAGGCAGATACGAGCTAGTCCAATACATTTTGCAGGGTAAAATTGAAGGAAAAGGAGCCCCAAGACGAAGAAGAATATCCTGGCTTGCTAACCTGAGAGCATGGTATAGAAAGACCTCAACACAGCTATTTCGTATAGCAACCAAAGAAATCATCATAGCAAGAATGATCGCCAACGTTCGGTACGAACAGGCACCCTAAGAAGAAGTATGGTGTAGAATTTTTTCTTACAAACTGACGATTTATTTATTGCTTTGAAACAGGTTGATGTTCAAATAAAATTCGGTGAGTTTAAAGAGGTAATACAATAAAATTTTAAATACGCACAAAGCTACAAAAAATGTTTAAAATGATCATGAAATATAATACAAGATTTAACACTCAACCTCATTATTCGTCGTCTTAGTCTCATTGTGCTAATATTTCTGATGTATTTCTTATTTACTTATGTAAAAGTGGAAAGAAGCATGGATTACTCCAATTCACAACAAAGGTCCAAAAGATATTTGCGGAAACTACAGATGTATCTCTGTTACCAGTACCTTTAGCAGGCTGTTTGGTAAAATCTTAAAAAACATGATTGAGAAAAAATACGAACCTCATGAAATTGACCGCCAAGCAGGATTTAGAGCTGGAAGATCTTGCGTAGACCACATATTACCCTAACACAACTGAATGAAAAGAAAGTTGCAAGAAACCAGGAAATACATCTTTTATTTGGGGATCTCACAAAAGCATATGACACGATTCCTGTGAGAAAGCTGTGGCAATCTCTTGAACGATCTCCATTAAATAGCACGATCATCGCCGCAGTCAAACAATTATACAATAAAGCATCGTCAAAAATCAAACTAAACAACACCTTATCAGAAGAATTTCCAGTAACAAAAGGCTTACGACAAGGATGCTGCCTCTCTCCAATACTATTTAAGATCTATTTAAATGAAGCACTAAAACACTGGAGAAGATCCTGTTCAGGAATGGGGATCCAACTTGACGACGATACAACAATATACACCCTATATTTTGCGGACGAACAAGTAGTAGTGGCAGCAGACAAGGAAGATTTAGAATTCGTGACGAGACGGTTGTTTAAAACATATGAAGAATGGGGCCTCTCTGTAAATAGAAACAAAACGCAATACTTATGCATCGGGAATGAAGTAGAAGATCTAATGGTCAACGAAATATATATATTTGGGAAAAACAATCAACAAGAGAGGGCGCACCGAAAAAGAGATAAAGCAAAGAATCTTGAAAGGAAAAAGGGTGATAGGATGCCTTAACCCGATGCTATGGTCAAAAGAACTATCAAATCAAAGAAAGCATCTCCTCTTTAACTCATTCTTTAAAAGTATAGTGCTCTATGGATGCGAAACATGGCAACTTACTAAATCCCTTGAGCGACGCCTACTTGCATTGGAAATGGACTTCTGGAGAAGATCAGCTAGAAAATCAAGGCTTGATAGAATACAAAATGACCATATCAGAAATATAATGGAAGTCAAGTCAACCATCATTGACGAAATTCAAAGGAGACAACTGATTTGCTATGGTCATGTGAAAAGAATGGACGACGACAGGCTGCCAAATCAAATTTTAAAATGGACGCCAAGGAAAAGAAGGAAGAGAGAAAGGCCAAAACAATCCTGGCTGGGCAGCATTCAAAAGGCAATGTCGGAAAGAAACCTTCACCCTGGCGAATGGAATGACCGACGTAGCTGAAAACTGGGAACCGAAAGGCGGAGAACGCTATAAAAAAACCGGGATAATAATAATAAAAGTGGATTCAATTAAATTGACTAAAACTTTGGTTTACTTTGGCAAAGAGTTTACTTTGGTTATGCTAACAAAAGTTCCCATTGCTCCCAAAATTGTTTAGAAATTAATTCTTTCTAAGTTATAGAGCTTTACTGTACTAGTGTTAAAATCCACGTGTTAAAGTCCATAATCCTTCGATGGCAACTATAAAAAAATGGATTAACGAGTTTCAATGAGTAACACGTCGGTTTTTGATGATCCATGCCTCGGTACCCCAAAAATGGCTACCAAGGAGGATAACGTGACAAATATCCACAATCTCGTACTGGCAGACCGCCGACTGAAGTTTCGCAAAATAGCTGAGTCAGTGGGCTTTCAAGAAATCGCGTATGTCATAATTTGCATAGAATTTTGGGCATGATAAAGCTGTCAGTGCGGTAGGTGCCACGTTTGCTCACTCCGGACAACAAGCGCAACTGTAAGACAAATTAGTAGTAGTATTTGACCCTATTTAAGCGTAATCCAAAAGTTACGTCGTTGCGTAACAGTTGACAAAACATGGATCCACTGGTATAGGCCAGAGACCAAGGAACAGTCGAAACAGTGGAGGGTTCTCCGAAGAAGGCCTAGACTGTCTTATCGGCGGAAAAGGTAATGGCCACCATTCTGGAAATCACAAGGAGTGATCAACATTAACTAACTAAAGAAGGCAAAGAGGTTACAGGTCTATACTACACCAAATTATTGGGCCGATTCGAATTGAAATACATTTGACCATATTTGGCGAAGGAAAAAGTGCTTTTCCAACATGACAACGCCCCCGTTCTTTGCTGTCGTTATAGCAAAATTGGTTTAATTGGGCTACTAACTATTGCTCCGTTAATCATATTCTACAGATTTGGCCACGTGCGACTTCTTTTTGTTTCCAGTCTTAAAAAAGACACTCACCGGACAGACATTTAGGTCGAATGAGAAGGACACTGCCGCCACGGAAGCCTACCTTGCAAACCTCGAGAAAACGTATTTTTCAGACGGATTAAAGAAGTTGAACCATCGCAGGGTCAAGTGTATCGAGCTAAAAGAACGTTTTTCGTTTGTAGGCTACTTACTTATCTGACCACCCTAGTACGGTATGTCAATTTCAACAAACGAGTGTGGAATCTAAATTACTTTTTTTAAACAGTGTTCAACATAAATTTTTAATTGTATAGCTAAAAGGAGCTCCTGGCTCGTAAAACTCAGCAAATGTAATTTGCATATCTCAATCAGTATTGGAGCATTAAATATATGGTCAGTTTGTAAGAAAAATTGAAACACCCTATACATATTTTAATACCGTGTATCTCACAAAACAAAGCTTGCATACACATGTGTCATAGCAAACTATCGTTATTTTCATGCACAATCATTCCCTGAATTAATTACTATTAAACTGGGAATAAGCCACAATTAAAGATAAAAATACGTTTATTGACGTTTCAATTTCCACTTCGGAAATTGTTCTCAAAATACAAACAGTAAATTAAACAAATTTTGTTTTTTGTTACATAGTGAAAAATTCTTCTAATAATTTAATTTTATCTGACTCATTTATATTGACAATTCAGACATACATTATGCATTTTAAAGTAGACGACTTTAAAATGATATTGCCAATATTGTTGAGTTGCGCTCCTGGGACGACTTTACTTATAAGATAATTCATTCGATTACATGAAATCAATTTTAACTTGAGAATATCCGTCAGAAAAAAATCATAGCATGTAATTCGTCTTTAAAAAGACAAACACATGACATGATGACAGTAAAATTCTCCTGTTAGTGATTCCATAGTAAATTATGAGGGAAAAACTAGGAAAAAAATAATACTATCCCGACATTGTAAGTATTTTTGTTCGTGAATTTAGTTTACCTTCAACAAACATCAAAATTCTGATTTTATATGTTACGTTATTTAAAAAACATAAATGATGTATCCTCTATATGTTACTGACTTACTAATACTGGTATTTTCTTATTAATAACTTCCTCTTTCAATATTGGTAACCAGATCCTACTACATTTTGCCGAGGAATTTGCGACACAATTGGCCTCATTTAGCATAATTAGAGCCGCTTCTTTGATTTTTCTTTTTTTACCATCCGTTTCTTTTAGGACTACATTTGAATTATTCCATTGAACCCTATGTTCATTATC